AGATTTGTGCGGATATCATCTACGTCAAAAGGCTGTCGCCTTACCAGCCCGGATTCCTACGTGATCGAGTCGAGTAGCGGAGCAGGTTAATCCTTTCTTTTATTATACTATTTGTTGTTATTCTTTATATTGTATGTAAAAAAAGGAATTTGTCCTTTTTTCTTATTTATTATTAATTATTAGTAGTGTTAGGAATAATACGGGCCCGCATATTTACTATTATTATTATTATTATTAATGTTTTATATACGTTGTTTCTGTGGTTAATATTATATTATATCTGGCGCCCAGCGTCCCTTTGTTCTATTATAATACATTGGTCTAATATTAATTATCATAGGTGATCCTCCTCCCGCTCACAACATTACGCGAGTCGTTACCGCTAACCGCGATAGTTAAAGTAGGAGCGGTTCGGCGCACACAATTTTATTATTTTTATTATTAGTTTAGGTTTTTTTTTTTTTTACTGTGAACCGTTTTAAAGTAGGTAGTATTAAAATTATTGTATTATTGGATACTATGTTTAATAATAAGATTAAAATAATATTGAGTTATTTTTTCAAAAAATATTTTGTCAGGTCACCATTTTACTGAATATCAGCTGTATACAATAAACTTACCAATGTAAAATGTATAAATATAATTTAAAAAAAAAAAATTTACTTTTTGAACTAATTAATTTTTAATGAACTGTAGGTATATTTAACTTATTTTTTAAATATATTTATTATTTGTTTTAGGTTTGGCTATGGTGATAATTCCAAGCAATATTGTTTTCATTTCATCTACGTATTTCAAATTTAATGCTTGGAGATTTTTTATACTTTTGACTTCTATACCAAGTCTAATTTCATTCTTATTGATATATCGTTACCCGGAAACTCCACGATTTTTAATGTTTCGAGGTTATTTAATAAAATCCAGGGATATTCTGGAACAAATTTATTTAGTTAACAAAAACTTTACATCAATTCTTGTAAGTTAAGAATATAATACTTATAATAGTTGAATATCCAATGTCATATCAATTTGAATTTCAAATAGCTTTAAAAAATTTAATTGATTCTCTAACAGAAATTTTTTTTTATACAGACTGCATAACTTATAAAAAACCTTATATTAAAAATGTTTAGATATAAATAGAAAATGTTAAGGCGGCTCTTAGTGGTTATTATTTAAGGGGAAAAATTTAGGCAATTTCTTATCTTGTTGTCGCCGTCCGTAATCTTTGTGTTAAGGCTCAGTCAAACAGAACGCGGGCTGCCCGCGCGGGCAGCCCGCACTACTGACCGCCGCGGTCTGCGATGTCTAACAACGCGCGGGCAGTCGCGTGGTTAGTCGCGGACTACGTGTCTTCTCTTTACTACGTCTATCTACACTAGCTGTAGTTTCTTTGTGAAAAATTTTAACTTTAGCTTACTTAATTTAAATTTACGAAAAAAAAATGACATCCAGTAGTTCTGACGAAGAACTTCTTATTCTACTCGCATTGAAGAACAAAAAGAAAAGGAGAAAATGGGTGCACGAAATTAATGAAAAACGAGAAGAATTTGGTGAGTTTCACCACCTCTGCAAAGAACTGTCAACTTACGAAGACCGTTTTGTAAATTATTTTCGTATGACTCGCGAACAATTTGAGGAAATACACGAACTCATATCACCGAGAATATCAAAACTTACGACAAACTGGAGAAAACCTATTGGGACAAAAGAAAGGCTTGCAATTTGTTTGAGGTAAATAAGTCTTTATAAAATAGACACATGAACTAGGTATATGAACTTTAAAAAAAATTGTATTTTAAATGATGAATGACATAAGAATACATTATTTGCTTATAATTAAGTAAGTAGTATTTTTAAATATGTATACATAAAAATGAATTTTAATTTTAATAAATTTAGTAGTTGTTTTTCGGCTGTGTATCAAGAAACATTGATACGTTTTCATACAAATCTTTAGTCGACTGAGTACGAACCGGGTATGATCCTAGTACCAAAGAATTTGTTGATTTGGGGTGTGTATGTATGTTTGAATAATTGAGTCCTTGAATGCTATCACGAGTATCATTATCAGCTTCTCTTGTGTAGTCATCTGTGTATACGTTGGAATAGTTGAGTGCTTGAATAGTATTACCAGTGTCATTTTCAGCAGCTTGGTTTGAGTTGACATCTGACCAAGACGAAGTTGTAGAGTACATTGGAGAGGAGCGTGTTGAATTATGACCGTCAACCTCATTAAGTTCAGCTCGTCCAAATAACTGTGACATCTCCATTTTAAGGATAGCTTGCGTTCTTGGCGAAAATGTCTTAAACGTATGTGCATACGACAAAAAGAGATTGTCAATGTGATCGAGTTTTGTATGAGTCTTATTGCTATTTTTTTTTTCAAGATAGCCAAGTACCGCAGCCACATCTTCTGTTAGTTCTTTCCGTTTGGTTGTTCTCTTAGGTGGTGGCATTTGCGTTGGGGAAGTTACATTTCCACTGTCAGACTCACCCGGCTCATAATCTTCATCAGTGATCGATGTTTCGTGAATCTGTGATATTGATACGTTTGAAGTGGTTGCTCGTGGTGCTACTGTATCTCTCAAAAATTCCAAATGAGCCGCCCATGGCCAATTTTTGTATTTTTTGCCAGATCCTGTAGATCCTTTTAAATACTTTAAATATTTCATATAAGAATCACGCAGGTTCTTCCATTTCTGTTTCACAATTTCAGCTGTCATACAGAACAAAGTATATACAATAAATAGGTACATAAATACTAAAAGAAAAAATTTAGAGTATTTAAAGTAAATTATATTTTATTTAAAGTAAATTTATCGTATCTAAAGTATCTACGGTAATAAGTTTTTAGTTGAATTACAAAACCTTTTTATAGCTATATGATATTTATTTATTTCAGATATTTGGCAACAGGAGATTCACATCATACTATAGGTTTTTCTTTTCGAGTCGGACGTACTACTGTTTCTAGCATAGTTAAAGAAGTATGTGTAGAGCTATGGAATGTTTTACAGCCTTTATATCTGGCTACACCTACAGAAGAAGTATGGAAAAATTCAGAAATTGGATTTAGAGAGCTTTGGAATTTTCCCAACTGCATAGGCAGCATAGACGGAAAACACGTGAGAATAAAATGTCCTCCTAAGACTGGGTCAAGTTTTTTTTGCTACAAACATTTTTTTTCAATAGTTCTGCTTGGCATAGTAGATCCTAACTACAAGTTTTTAATAGTTGATATTGGAAGTTATGGCCGTCATAGTGACAGTAGTATTTTTGAGAACTCATCCTTTTATCGCGAGTTCATACAAGGTAAAACTATTTTACCACCTAAACCTTTACCTGGAACAACCACCCCAGTCCCACATGTTTTCGTAGGTGACGAAGGTTTTAAACTAGAAACTTTTTTAATGCGCCCCTTTCCGAGAGCTGTAGTTGCACAAGATGAAGCTAAAAAGGTATTCAATAAGCGACTAAGCAGAGCACGACGTGTTGTCGAAAATGCCTTTGGTATTTTGGCACAAAAATGGCGAGTCTTTTTTAGACCTATTGAATTGGAAGTAGATACTGCAGAACATGTTGTCAAAGCAACTTGTTGCTTACACAATTATCTCCAAAGTACCTCTACAATTGAAAACGAACCAGAAGAAGAAAACGCTATTTCACCTACTGATGTGTTTTCTAATACACAACGAATAAGAGAAAGATCAAGTATTGCAGCTAATTCTGTTAGAGAGAACTTCGTAAATTATTTCAATTATTTACGTAATGAAACTATCGATCAATAGTATGAAAAATAATAATAATACTATGAAACAACTGCATAGTAAAATTGTATCACTATATTATATAACTAATTATGTAATTAGGTAATATAACTATTTTAACTATAATATATTCTTTAATAACTAATTATTATTAGATATATAATACTATGTTTTTCATTCAAAATCGTTTTTGTACAATACTACTTTATATTATTACTATAGATTTAATATAATATCAATACTGATAAAAATGAAAAAATAAATAAACTAAATCTATTTTTACATGTTTATTTCATTATAATATTTAAGTACCTATCTATCATTTTATAAATTAATTATATTATACATATCATACATAATACACATATTATATTACTACTATATTATTATTATTATATTATTATAATATGATTACTTGGCATATTGAGTATCCCGGCAATTTCATTCCACTTCTCTGTTTTTTTTACTGTATTTATATAGTCACCGTGACTAGTATCATATAAATATGGATGACTGTGCACCAAATCAATTAATTTTTCAGTCTCATCTGCCATAGTGATGGATAATAATAATATATAATATATAATATATAATATATAATAATAATATTATAATAATAATGAGGAATGAATAATTTTTGACTGGCCGCGTCACGCGTTCTCTGTAAAATATTACAACCAGACCGCAGACCGCGGCGGTCGACATGATTCCGCCGCGGTAGCCCGCGCTATTTTTAACCACGATAATGCAATCATAGATAATACAGTGTCCGCCGCGGGCAATGCGGACTGCCCGCGCGGGCAGCCCGCGTTCTGTTTGACTGAGCCTTTAGTCGTAAATGATTATTAGTGTGAGTGTGGTTCTATATATGTACCGTCACTTCCGCCCCGTCCATCAAGTATAGCGTACTACGTCGCTTACTTGGAAGTTGCGTGTCGCATCGTTATCGTAAAACTATTTTTGGGATTTTACAATAATTATAATTTACCAGATAATGTATTATAATTTATTATTATGACTATACTTGTCATTTGGATTTATTTTTATTATATATGGTAGGTATTGGAAATAGGAACAATAAGTATGTAGAATTTAAACAGGTTTGTACAATTTAAAATCACTTTTTTTTGTCATGGACATAAATACGTAATTATAATAACAAATAATAATATTTTACGTAAAATTATTAAAAAGTAGATTATAACTAATCTCTAATAGGTAAACCACGATTTAAACGGGAATCTAATATTTCAGGTAGCAAATGGTCATAGTAAAATGAAATTAATTGTTGTCGCATTTGTAATTCAAAGAAAACATCATCTCGTAAAATCTTTTGGTACAACATGCCTGAAAATGTAAACGAGAACGATAAAAAATATAAAAATAAATATAAATGAATGTTAAAAAAAATATATTTCACGATATTTTTACCGCGAAATTGACGGGATACCTATTATAAAACTATATATATATAATTTACATACCTTTGGATGACCACAAGACGAAATAACAGTAAGATCTTTGTGTTATATGTAGTTGTCCTTGTACTTGATAGTATTAATTATCATTTGTTTTTAAATTTAATTTTCCATCAATAATTGTCGCAAACTTCAATTTTCCACATTGGATAGCATCTTCAGGTGTGAGATCTTTTATAGTGTATGGACATTTGATTTCTACGATACCATCATTTTCAATCAATCCGTCAGGACTCGCAGCCAAAAAATAATATGTTGTATCAATAAATAAACCAGCGGGTTTGATTTTTATGTTGATCTCTTTTTCGAAGGAAATTCTTGCTATAGGTTCATTTTCGATACCATAGTTTGTCGATGAATTACCGGCAAATGTATTATATAATATACTTTTTACAATATTTTTTCTCGAAGTTCTAACTCGCAATTTACAAACCTTTCCAAAATTTGAGGCCGTCAGTCGTATACTTCTCTCTGCTCTCCATAGGTCACTTTCAGACTGATTTTTCTATTGTTTTAATTTCTTCGTTGGTCTTTGATAAACGCTCTAAAAATTGTAATTTTTTAATATTAAATTCTTTTGGTTCCATATCTAATATTTGAGGTTCTTCTTGAATACATCCATAATCTCTGTCTGGGCCAATATACGTTTTTTTAGTAGACTTGGTATTTCCAAACAGTTGTTGTCTTCTTAATTTAGTTTTACGCTGTTCTATAAAACGTTTAGTAAATACACCTGGACTTGCTTTTGTCATTTTTTTGTGTAGTATACTTATATGCGATGAACCTGTATTCAAGGAAGTTAGAGCAATATGACACCGTGTTTGATAAGACCCTTTTAAAGAAAAATTAATACGCTTTCCACCTACATATTTGGCGACTACACTATTAAAATTTTCGACACAGTTATTATTGACATTATGAATTAAACTTGAAGAATGGTATGCCAATAAATTTCTTGCAGCTAAAATGTCATTCCAAAGACCGGATTTTTCTAAATCGGGCACTAAATTATTTTCACTGTCTTTTGGACCCATACAAAAATATTGAGCACAATGTGTATGGTATCCAAATACATGGTAAGGTCCATTCAAAATGTCTGATTTTAATAATTTTATTTTTTCGGTTGTATTTATCTTCATTTTACTACGAAACTTTATGGCTTCCGTAACAGCATATCGAAGACGAAGTAAATTATTTTTTAAAAAAGTTCTTTGAACACCTGGAACAATATTCCCATTTGTACACTTGCGTCGACCAGCTATTTCACGAATTCGGTTTATATAATTTCTGAGCAAATGATTTGTACACTCTATTTTTTTAATATTCAAATCCGGTCCATATGGTTTAGTTAAATTCAAGTTCTTCATCACACTACTGTCACCATCTCCGATTAACTTGTCATATATTATGTTGTGCATTGGAATACTCTCCTTGAAGCCTTCAACTATTATACTTGATTCCATAGAAGTAGAGGTACTATTCCAATTTTTATAGCACACGTGAGACTTGGGTGGTTCATTTTGTTGGGAAGCACGATGACAAATAATGCAATATTTATTTTTAATGCCAACAAATAAACATTTTTTTTTGTATTCCGTCCAAATATAGAAGCGACACCAGATAAAGCATTATAATTGCTTTTATATGATCTTTTTAACCACGCCCCATCTGCAATTACGGTTATCAAAGGACGACCTTGTTCATCTACGTCTCCGTTTTCAATTGCAATTTTTGATTCCTCTTGTCCAGCTTTTTTCATCTCTTCCAAACTTACACTAAATATATTTTGACTAACTTCCTCATGAATATTTTGATAAGTAGGAAATGACATACAATACATATCAAGTATACCACAAAACTCTTCCAATTGGGAATATCTTTGTCCCGTGTTTAATATGGCAGAGGTAACCGCTGTATTTATATTGAATCCTTTTCGTTCGGGATCTTCTGAATAAATATTTTCTATCGCACCACACATGTTACATTTAAAAACAAATGTGCTAAGAAATCCATTTTTTTTTCATTTATGATTTGCAAGTTAGAAAATGTACAGTCAAACTTATTGTGTCGTATACTTTGAATTGCCTTGAATAAATAATATGCTATATCAACTATCCTTCTGCCTTGTAATACATATCTATTTAAAAAAATATTATAATAAATATTCTATTTTTACTTTAATTGTTGAGCTAAAATTTTATAAAGGCTAATAAAAAAAAGCGGAAAAGTGGGGACCGATCTGCTGTACATTAGGGGGTGGGGTGAACCTCGGACTAGGAAAATTGAAAATTTCAATTGTCTATAAATAGCTCAAAAAAGTAAAAATATTTTGAAAATTAAATCATGTAAAGAAAATGCCAATCTAAATAACTGGAAAAAATTTTAAGTATCTACGACTTATACTTTTTGAATATTAACAAATATTTAAAATCGTTTGAGGATAAATCGTTGTTATCGTTATGCTATTTCGTAAAAATTTAAAATTCAAACGCACTTAAAATTTTTCCTATAATGATGCTTTAAGTTTTTACTATAGTTACTTGAAGGAAAACTTAAGGAAAACATAGTGTAGTATTTTTAATCCTTAGTTATAAACACAAACCATTTTATGATTTTTCAACTTCAAAATTACTTACAAATTTTCGCGTTTTCGATAAATTTCGTAAATATTTGAACTATAAACGTTTATAAAAAAAATTGTGACTAACGATTTTTAATTTTTTTTAGATACAACAAAGACAACTCATATGGAACCTTGTATTAAATTTTCAAAATTTTTTGGTCATCCAACATTTTTTTATCAACACTTCAAAAAAAAATTCTCATAAAAATCGATAATTTCTGTGGTCTATAAATAACTCAAAAAAAGTCAACATTTTTTGAAAATTAAACTATATATAGATAACACTAACATAAATATTTGGTGAAAATTTCAAATATTTATTGTGATTAGTTTTTGAATTACAACCATATAAAAAAATCGATTTGGTCGAAAACTGGTTTTGCTTAAAAATTGAAGCATTATTTCGACTACTTATGCTGTACACAGACACACAAAAAAAAAAAAACACGCATCATTGTAAAATCAATACATTCATCACTCCATTCAGAATCTAAAATATTCTAATAAACATTAATAACTTACTCTTCTGCGTTTTTATCATGTTTATCTGATACTACTAATCTGTACGTAGAATGAAATATATTACTATTTATATGTGACATATCTGCATCGACTGCATCATCCGTATTTTTTCTAAATAATAATAGAAATATTAAAAATTAATAATTATGATCGAATAATTATAAATTAGGTACCTGCTATCAATTCCATCATTATTTCCTTCATCATTTTCATTTGATATATTAGAATGATCTAAAATCTATTGCAAAAATCAATGAATAATACATTATAATAGCAGTAATTAATAATACTACCTATATTACTAATTCTATAACATAAAAAAGTATTATTTATAATTTATTATACAAAATAACTTATAGATACTTACCTGAATATCGTTGTTCTCTAAGATTCTAGTATTTTTAGAATGTAAATTTTTCAAATTATGCCTTAATTTTTTCCATGGCGCAGATACTTTTGGACGTGTTTTTTTACTAAATCGCCAATCACGCATTTTTATAATTTATTATTATTTGCAATTGCATATAACGAATACAAACTATAAACTGAATAAACTGATTACTAATAGTATACTTACTAGTTACTATTATCATTAATTTTAATAACTAGTATTTAATATTTATAATTATAATCAATGCAATGCAATTATTAAATATGGAAAATATAAAATTAAAATTTCAAAGAAATTAAAACTCTATAACAATAGATTTCTTATCGCCCGGATGCGTGCGAACGGGACCGACTATATTCCATAGCACACGTACGCGCATAAACAAGTCAACTCGTACACTTTCAAAAATATTTTTGTATACTCGCGACAATGAATAATGCTAATAAGCTGGCGAAAAATTAACATACTTCTAGTAATCCAATTTCAATTTTTAAAAATTATTTGAATTCGTCAGCCTTTTTTTTATGATTTGTAGGAAACAGATTTTGGAAATTTTGGAGAGTTTACTTAGTACAGTTCCAAATAACTTCACTTACTTTCTCAAAATTAACTTGTTCTTTTAGATGATAACAATACAAACAAATTAAAAAGTTCTTCCTACAAGTCATAGAAAAGAAACTAACAAATTCAAATTAGTATTCAAATTTAAAATTGGACTACTAGAAGTATGTTAATTATTCGCCAGCTTATAGGTCTAAACGCATGAAAAATCCAATCGTTTAGAGCCCCCTTAATGAATTTCCTAGTATAAAATAATTTATGATTTTTGAAATTTTGTCAAATATAATACTAACAAAGCTTATAAAAATATTGTGATTATAAATAAAATTATTTTTTTAATTGGGCAATGAATAACTTATTATGAATCTTATATTAAAATGTCAATCAATTTTATCCAAAGGTATTCTTTTTATCTTTTAATCAATGTAAAAATAGAAATTTCAATTGTCTTTAAAGGATTATAAAAGATTCGGAATATTTTGAAACTTCTTATATCAATATTTTGTGAACATTTCATGCAAGTATTTATTGAGTAAGTAAAAGTGATTTTTATTATGAAAAATTATCTTTTAAATATAATCTTTATTTTGAAAATATTTCTTTACATAATTTGATAAAAATTTGATTATTATATTTATTAAGTTTTACTTTTTGAATGATAAACACATTTTAGTTTATGATACAAACAAGTATTTTCGAATATTTTGATACATAAAAACGAAATTCAAACAAAGTAGTTTATAAGCTACAAATATTTAGAATTGAGCAGACAAAGTAATAGAGCCAAATTTTGAAGTGCTCACCTATACTTTAAAATTTAAATACTTAAACTCAAACTGCTCATTAATTTCAATCATTATGTATTAAATATGCAAGACATAATTGCTGGGATATAAATTAAAAGTGTAAGTTTTTCATTGGAAAAGGTAAAAATTAAAAATTATAAATAGGTAATGAAAAATAATAAAAATTTTGAACTTTCATTTTGATTGTAAAATTGTACCTAAAAATATTTTAAAAACTCAATAGTTTTAAATAATAAGATAATTCATGTCTTCTTCATAAAATATTAACTAGTATAAGTTTTTGATTATAACAATACGAAATATTTATTTACGGTCAAAACTGATAAACAAAAGATTCGGAATATATTTATTTTTAATTAGTAAGGACAATATTAATTTTTACTCTTCAGCTCGCCCCAGATTACCAACTAAATCTAATTTCCCTACCTTAAACCACTCTCAAATTTGAAAATGAACTATTTTAACTGCCCGAAAGGTGATAGATGGTAAAACATTTCTTTTTAAAATCTAAACTGTCCACTTCATACTCAAGAATATCTAAAAATTCAAACAGTACAAATATTACTAACATTTATTGAAAGATATATGAAAATGGTACATGAGCAATACGTAACTTCT